GTTGAAATGTAAAAATTAATATTTAATAAGATAAATTTTTAAATTTAAAATTAAATTTTAATTAAATAAAATAATATTATTTAAAATTAATATTTAAATTTTAAAAAAAAATTAAGACTAATACATACTATATTATATATGAAATTATTTGCTGGTGATCATATTAAAAACATATTAAGAAGAATCAGTCTAGAGACTTTAGTTAATTTTCAGTCTGTAGCAGCTAGCTATTTATGTGTTATGATGGAAAGTGTACATAGTACAATTTGACGTAGGGGTAATAGAAAGCAAGAACAATAACATGATATAGGTGTTTCTCTCTTTCTCTCTCTCTCTATTGGTCAGGTAATTGAACACTACTTGGACTGCGTGGCATGACGGGTGGGGATTGTACTCCTCCTACTAAGGTGAGGAGCCTTTTATCTCGTTAAAGACATTTCCCTTATTTTATTTTATATTTGAGTCAAGAGAAAGAAAAGAAAAGAAAAAAACGATGAGAGAAGAATTATATTTTTTTTATTTTTTATTTGAATAAGTAATTTAATTAAAATAAAAAATCAAGTAAAAAATTTTTTTCTCCCTTTCTTCCAATCCCCATCCCCTCAACCGGAACGTGCTGTTAGAGAATAATTCTACTTTAAGTGAATTGTACTTAACAGTTAAAAAAATAAATTTTAATGATAAAATAATAATAAATATATATGTGCAGGAGATATTAAAACAATGATAAAATAATAATAACTATATTGAATAACAGATTCAAATAAAAAAATAGACAAACTGAGTTTTCGAATCATGGTTCATTATCAAATCTTAAATACTTAGGTGTAGTTAGTCGAGAGTTCGATTTCTATTAACGATTTGAAAAAAAATTCTTCTCTCCCAAACTCTTCAATGTTTTAAAAAATAAAATAAAATAAAATAGACAATTAAAACTATATGTTAATATGATTTTAATTTTGAGTTTTAAATTTTTATTTTTTTGTACATTTGATAATGATGAATTACACAAAAGATGATAAATCTCATCTTTTCCTAAATCCCTCCCCACCAAACTCAAAATTCTTAAATTTTCATTTTATATATATTTAGTAATGATTACCACATTTAGAAATCAAAATTTATTACAAAAATTTGAATTTATTAAATTTAATTTAAATATAATACCAATTACTAAATATATAAAAAAATAAAAATCAAAAACCAAAAATCAAAACTATACTAAATAAAGCTTAAATTTAAATGTTCTAAATTAGAATGTAGAACAATTAAAGTTGATGGAAGAATATGTACTTTTTAAGATACATGTTATTGATGTAATTATGGGCATTGAAAAATTAAAAATTAATCTTTATTTAATTAATTATCCGACTAAAATGATTTATGTATTAAAGAACCCTTCATATATTTTTTAATTGAGAAAAGAAATAAAAAAAAAAAACCCACAATCACAGCACAACACTTTCACATGGAACCTTAAATGATCTAAGGATAATCTTCTTTTAACCAAAAAAAAAAATGAATTATAAATTCGGTAGGATATAGGCGGAAGCAAAGAGAATATTAATTTGAGTTATACAATACATTTAGTATAAACTAAGAGAAAAAAGTATTAAAATTTTCATTTTGCAATTCAAAAATAATAATATTAGTAAGAAGTAGATGAAGAAAATAAACTGTTGAAATTGATTCCTTCTTCAAGCTCTAAATCCCCAGAATTCAAAGAAAATAAAATACCGAATATTTTTTATGCAAAATCCATCTATCAGGAAATAAAATCCTCACCCAAAATTGGAAAAGAAATAAACATGCAAATTTAGATAAACGCCACCGTCATACAGGATTTTGATAATTCCATCTTGAAACATGGATCTTTGCCTATAATCCAGAAAACATGGGATTGCTGCCACTGCATCTGCATTGTCCTTTGAGTTTGACACAATGCTTTTAGTCAGTTTTCTTTTCTTTTCTTTTCTTTTTTTTTTCCTTTTTTTTTTTTTTTTTTTTTGAGATTGTATTTTCTACTCCAAATATTGTTGTATAATTGCTTTATGTAGAATCAAATTTTAGCCTCTTTGTTTACGGGGTCAATCAGGGTGTTTCTTATATGAATTTCCCTTTTGAATAAGTTTTGAAGTTCTCTTTAGATTTTGTTCTTTTAAGAAACTGTAATTGATTCACTGAAAGCAATGGTTGGGGTTTATTACACATTCCAGTTAGACATGCTTTTACTCACATTTCATTAATGATATTTACTGCACTATTTTGGTATTGCCAGATGGTGTTTATGGTGGTCAGCAGTATCACTGGCAACAAAATCCTCCCTTTCGTGCTGATATTACATATCCAAGCCCTCTGCACCACCAGTTCCATCAAGGCCGCAGCTGTCACCTGGTTACTTTTCCACAACTTCAAATTCAACAACAGAACCACCACCGTTTGTTGATTTAAACGTGACAGCAAAGCTACACATGTCCAGTAAGCTTTTGAAGTTACAGCACAGTTAACAGACAAAGTAATGAAACAGGGCAATTGTTGCTTAGTTATCTTTTGAATGTAATTTAGGAAATAGGCTGTTGGTTTCAAAGTTTAGTTTGTATTGATATGCTGTCTTTTTTTGCTGTTTATTGATATGTTAGATCATTGACTACTTACAAGGAGACAAGGCAACACAACTTTAGAAAAGTAGAAGTCAACTCTTAACTTTTTCATTCTAACATTTTGCTATGTGCAAAAGTTTGAATTAATCAGAAATGCCATGGGTTCTGTTGTTCCTCTTCTTCCTGATTTTATCTCCATTTCTTTGGGAAAAAACCAACAAATGGTATCTTTTTCAACAAATGGTATTAGAGCCCTATTGGTCTTTGAGGACTATGGGAGAGTTAATCGAAGCATAACCAAAACCCACCAAACTGAGTGTAAACATGTGAGTAGAGAGCACCCGGTTGTCAAGGAATCCAACACTTCTTTTTCACCAAAAACCCCAATTTTCGATGGCCAAAATTACAGCATTTGGGTTGTTAAGATGAAAGCTTACCTCAAAGCTTTTGAACTCTAGGATGTAGTCGAGAATTATACTAAACCACTTGCTCTACCAGCCAATGCAACTTTGTCACAAATGAAAAGGCATAATGAAGAAGCTTCCAAGCCTTACAAAGCTCTTACTTGCTTGCATTCCTCTATGAGTGACGAGATTTTCAACAGGATCATTCACTGTGAAACAACAAAGGAGGTATGGGACAAGATTAAGTTTCATGGAGATGACAAAGCCAAGTGTATGCAAGAGATGAACTACAAGAGAGAGTTTGTAGTCTTGAGTATGAAGGATTTTGAAACTGTTAAGGAGTATTCAAATCACCTTATGAAGTTGGTGAACCAAATGAGGGTGCTTGGAGAATATGTGCCTGACAAAAGGGTTGTAGAAAAGGTCTTGGTGAGTCTTCCTGAGAAATTTGAGCACAAAATCTCTTCTCTAGAAGATTCAAGGGACTTGACCAAGGTTCCCTTAACTGAGATTATTAGTTCCCTGTAAGCAATGGAGCAAAGAAAGGCATTGTGACTTGAAAATGCCATAGAAGGTGCACTTGTAGCATTTGACAAAAGCAAAGCTCAAGTAACGGAAGTTGGAACGGGTGATGCTAGTGAGAAAGAAAGAAATGAGAAGAAAGGGTATCAAAACCACAAATATGAAAACAAAAAGGAGGGCTAAGCACCTTGCTCTCATTGCAAAAAGAAAGACCATTCCAAGAAATATTGCTGGTTTAGGCCGGAGTTCAATGCAAAAAGTGTAAGCAATTTGGACATGTTGAAAAGGTTTGTAAAGAAGGTTCAAATCAAGTTCAACAAGCCAAAGTTGTAGAAGTTGTTGAAGAGAAGGAAAAGCATCTGTTTATGGCTATAAAGATAGGAGATTACAGTGCAGCCATCTTGAGCAGTGACTCTTGGTTGATTGATAGTGGTTGTACAAACCACATGACCCCAAATGCGGCTATATTCAAAAGTCTTGACAAAAAATACACCATTGACGGGTCTATTTTGGGCAAATCTACAAGGGATTCTCCAAGTTCCAACCCCCAAAAATCAAGGTGCAAAATCATAAAACTTGCTGTCCAATGAAGAATGAAGAATGAAGCAAAGCTTCCAACCTTTCATGCTTAAGAATTTGAATGACTTACCATACTTGGATTATATTCTTCCCAATCATGCTCCAATGATCATAATCCTTTGATTGAGCAATTTTAAAGCATAAATATTAGACCTTGAAGCAGAGAAGAAAACAAAAGAAAAAGAGCTTTCAACCTTAGAAACAAAGAGAGATTGAGCTTCCACTTTTGTTCTTTGAGAAATAAACTATTTTCTACACTTGTTTTCGTTCTCTTTTGTTGTAACAAGTGATAGAGGGATTAGGTAAACTTTGTTAGATTTAGTAATCCATCCTTGAGATATAGGAAAGGTTGAGAGATTTGTAAAAAGGGAATTAAACTGTTCAATAGCACCTGTAAGCTATTAGGAGAGTGCTTCAGTAGCCTTTTTAGACCTAGAGAAAACCATCCTTGTGGTATAGGATTGGGTTTGTAAGATATTATAACAAGCAGTTGAATTGTTGAAGGTGGATAGTGCCAACAAAACTATTGCAAATGGTTGCCTTTATACTTGAAAGTTGGAGGAAAGCTTTTGAATCCAAAGTAAACTCTCACGCAAGTGGCTTGAGAAGTGGACTAAGTACAAATTGTATCCGAACCACTATAAATCCTTGTGTTTGAACTTTCTCTTCCCTTAACTTTTAATTTCTATACTTTAAATTATTGGTTTGCAATTGCTTGTGCTTGCTCATTGATTGGTTTTGGAAAATTGCATAAAATTTTTAAAAACCCAATTCAGCCCCTTCTTGGGATGCCATCATCTGGGCCAACAGAAAGTTCTATTGGGAGTTGGAATCATTTGCCTCCTATTTTAGTTGCTCTGATATAAGATGATTTTGGAGTATCTTCAACTACTCTTATATAAATAAATATATATTATTAAATAGGAAAATGATGTGTGCACACCCGGGTCAACACCCGGGTGTGCACACTCCCCATTGAAAAAAAAATGGACCGGGTGGTGATGGGCTTTTTTTTTTTTTTCAATGGGGAGTGTGCACACCCGGGTGTTGACCCGGGTGTGCACCAATTAAGGTCCTATTAAATAATATACATACAATATGAGGTTTATGAAAATTTTAAAATATTGAATATCTAGACATTTATAATATTGATACCATCATATATTGGTGTCAAAATAATCTTGACTTTTCATTTGTTAATTATCAACACTGTAAAATAAAAAATATTAGATTAAATAAAATGTAAATTAATTAAAAGAAAGAGAAAAAGAAATATATATTGAAATACATATGAGAATAATTATGTAAGACGAGATGAAACAAAGATATAAGATGAATGGTAAGCAATGCATTGTGATCTATTTATACTAGTTTTTAACAAATATTACCTGTGTAATGCAAGTATGGAAATTTTGAGCACTTAAAGTTAAGTGGAGCTGTGAGTCTAGTCTTTGTGGAATTGGTTCGCAATATTTAACACATTGGTGTTTTTAATGTTTACGAACGTGGAATATGTTAGGAATTTAATGATGTTTGAAAGTTAGGTCTAGCAATTGGTCAATTACTTTTAATTAATTTCTAATGTAGACTATGTCTGTGTTTAAGATTTTATGAACATGGTACAAGTTGTTGGTGGAAAAATATAGCAGTGCATGTTTATTGAAAAACTTAGCATCGCTTACCACGTCAGTAATTTTAATTTCAGCATCATCCGGTTGTGTAAATACATAGATGAATTTTCCTTACTAATTTTTTATTATCTAGTAGTAATGCACCTATGGTTAGGCATTCTAGATCTGTATTACACACTTTTGAATCTAATCTTACAAAAATAAATTAGTCCACCGCTGCTGATATCGTGGCTTGAGAAAGTGGCATCTATAGCTGGAAGGTGTTCCTTCCTCTTCTTCTTCCCCATCATTGGTTGTTGGTACTCTTATACAAAGATTAAAGCAAAAAAAGCAAGAAAACTCTTGCACAAAGATTAAAGCAAAAAAACAAGAAAACTAGAAAGAATACAAAGGGAGGGAGAAAACAAAGAAAAAGAAAGGTTGGTACGTACCAAAACTAACAGGATTTAGAAAGAGGATAGATGCAAATAAAAGGAGAAAGAAGAAAGATTAAGGGTCTGTTTAATTTACAGAAAATGACTTTATTTTGAAAATTTTTTTTATGAAAGTTATGTTCTTTTCTAAAAATTATTTTTTAATGTTTGAAATGCTTGAAAACTTTCTTAAGTAAAATATTTTCTATTGTTTGGTAAGATAAAGGAAAATCTTCAAAATTTTTAAAATATTAATTAATTAAATATTAAAAATTAGAGCTAAAACATTAAAAAAAATGAAAATGCTATGTTGTAAACCTACAACATAATGTATTATTATATAGTTAATTTTTTTTCATTCACAAATTTACCTGAGATATTGTTTGTGTTCACTCATTTAATATTACATCACACTCATTTAATGTCACGTAAAATTATAAGTAAATTTACAATTCTATCTAGTATTATAAGTATAACATTGCCGTAACCTGACAAAAACTTGAATTTATATGGAATTTCCAATGTTCTAGAAAATATTAAAACTGATGTGTATGAATGCCAACTTTTAAATAACAACCCTGTTCGTTTTAGGGTATCTTCAAGTCTGAACCGCTGGCATTTATTTCTGCTTGTCGAAAAACACGTCTACGTTTATCAAATTTGTCACAATTTGATAAATCAGGCAGTCACCATAGTTAATGTAAGCATTCTTCAGTGCTATTTTTTGTTATCCCATGCCCACCTTTAGTGTAATCAGGCAAGTACTTGATAAGTTTTTTGTACTTTTCTTTTTTCTCTTCCTACTGCTGCTACAGCAGGGATATACTGTTATTGATTTGAAGGTTCTCAATGCATCACAAATTGAGGACATATTTCTTTCAAGATTTCTCGCTTGGGTCTTACAGGTAAGATCATTTTTTGCATTTCTTATATTAATATGTTTTACAAATTCCCATGTTAAGACTATTCTGTTTTGAGCTTCTCAGTTCATTTCGCAATGGCAGAGGCCAATTAGAGGTAGTACTTCAACGTTGCTGTTAAATTATATCCGAACTACCCTATGCAAGGTACAATTTTATTACCTTTATGTTGCAATTCTGATGCAACTATCCACTTGCTTGTTCTCCTTCAAGATCACGAATTTCATAATTGTCAGTTTTGACAACTTTCAGAACTCCCTTACTGCGGCTGGTTGCTACCTTTCTCCTGCTGCTGGGTCTAAGGGTACCAAAGTTCTTGTCTGCTGCTCTGTTGATTGTCCATTGCCTTCAAAATCAGAATTGTGTTACGTGCACCCTAATGAGGAAAATAAGGGCTGCGATCTAAATGAGTTAGACATATAATTGCAAATGGCAAGTCATACTCTGATAAATTGGTTCCAGATGCATCAGAGGTGCAATTTTTGCAACTAGGATCAGCATCAGCTCTAGATGAAGCAAGAAGACTGGGTATTCTCAGTGAGTCAAGCCATAAGAACATTCTTGTACAGCAATTAGAGGAAGTCAGACGTTTTAGGTCTAAAACTGATGTAATTTTGACTATGAAGCACAAGATGAAATTGAAAATATCAGTGAATCTCCTAGTGAGACACTGCAACCTGGACAACATGCTACTTCATGAACAGGTTCCTCGTCACATGGAAACCCAGCAAGTAAATTTCCAGCAACCCTTATTTGGGAAGGGAAAGCCGGTATAATCTTTGCAGTTATTGTCTAATAGGTGATGATAGTGTAGCTGATGTGCGTTTTATGATTGAAGCTGATTGGCTTTATCTTGCTGAGTTATCCTAGCGCCCAAATGCAGAGAATTTTGAAACAAAAAGAGTTCCGCTTTCCCTTCAAGTAAACCAAATGACGGATAAGAAAACACCGTGTCTTGACTATTCAAGGTTATCTTCACAAAGAGCTCTCCAATCATTGAAATCTATCCCTTTGGCAGCAAGAAAAAGCCTTCCTGTCTTGGTAAATTGTCATGGAGTAAGTTAATATCTTGTTGCTTTAATCTCTTACAAATATCTCACCAAAATCATTCTAGTCTTGTGGTTCTAGTTTCTTATGAGATTACTATACCTTCTTTGAACCAGTTGATTCTGGTATCTCTGTCTGCTTTAGTTTTTTGCTAGGTTTTCCTTCTAATCATGTATACACTCTCAAATTTCATTCTTTTGGGTTAACGACGATGTTGACAAATTAGAATATGTTCTAGTGCATCCTTGTGTTTAGTTTTCCTTTTCCTACTGAGCTTACAATTTTCTTCAATTTTTGTTCTTTCAGAGCATTGTCTTTACGCATTGCTCATGCTTAATGGTGTCTGTTGTATTCAAGCCAAGAGTACCACTTGGGGGAGGCCATAGTTCGTTCATTTAGGCCCTGTGTTTCAGATCCTTTGTCTGCATTCCCAAACTCCTCCGAAATTTGATGATTCTTGCAGGCTAGCAGCATGTTCAAAATGTTGAGAAATAGTTCATTAAATGTAATTAAGAGCTTCGTCTCCCCTGGCACTGTACTTTTTATGATTATTCACTTCTTTTATTCTTTATATGTAACTGATTAGCGCCCCATTTCTGTATCCTGATAACGTTACCAAGTATAGTAATTTTTCAAGCATATATTAGATATAAGAATAGTTTTTGTAATCCGACCTGCATCAGTTTATAAAATTTAAGCTGTTAGATGAGTAAGACTCATATATGAATTCCATTAATCCAAGAGTCATAATATTGCAATCCAGTACAAGTTAGGCTCTAAAACATCATTCTCTATTTAATGACTCAATCCTCAAATCATTCTCGATTTAATGACTCCATCTTTTGAGGATTTGTTTATAACCTAAAAATAATTCTTTTAATTTATAAAGAGTAATTCTTTTAATAGAAATATATAACTGTAATTCTTTAAATTGGAATATTAAACTACTAAAAATTTATTATTATTTTTAAAATCACATAATTCAACAATTAGTACAATTCTTTATGTGGACCCAAAAACTTGCCCACAAATTCTCAGGATATGGTCCTGTGATTCCTTTTCATTTGAAGCCAGTATTGATTAAAGATAATGTAACAGTTAAATTTCTCCCCAAATCCCAACTTCTAAAATCCCAGTTGGCATTTTTCTGGGATGTTGTTTCTTAATTCTTTCAACAGTACATTATTCAGATGTAGACTGCAGAAATATGATAGAGGAGCAAAAAGGGGGAAAAAAGAAAGAAATTACAATTGAAGTGAGAAAGTGTCATAAGCCACTCTGACCTCCTCCTTCCTTGAATGAGGTGAAATTGTTAAACCATTGCTTCCATGGAGCATCCTTCTGTTGTTCAAGCCATGACAAAAACGCACTGTCTAACAAGCAGAAAATGTTGACATAGAGGAGTTGGTATCTCACAGGAACATACCGGAAATTCACAACCTGCACAAGTGGCCATACACCACCTTCTAAGACTAAGGCTGGGATGAAATCCCGCTTCACAGCTTCCTTCACTTGAGCAACACTCTTGCCAGTGGAAAACCCCATGTAAGTGAAAAACACAAACAAATCAAAGGGGCCAAAGATGAGTCCATCCATTGCTACTTTTGTAGCAACAAACTTCACTGACTTGGGCTGGTAACAAAGCCTCAGCCTTATGAATCTGTCCAAACCTTCATACCTGCAAGGAGAAAGGGCCAGTACTCAGGGTACAAGACATAATCCTCTTATATGTGATAATTTCACAGGTTATAACACTGTGCATCTCGATAAGACAGTGGCAACATTTCCTCCCAACAGAAATGGCCAATTTAAATTAATAAGTACATTCTCAACTGCTCTCAAGCTCAGAAGAAATAATCCAATTTCTTTACGTGGTTTCTCATACGTGCTTAATATCCTACTTTGAAAGGCAACCCTCATATTTAGATTCGGTAATATATCAAACATTTGTAAGATGGACTTTGCATCAGTTCATAAAAATGTCAAGTTATCATCAAGGCTTACACATATTTTACCATATACTATTGAAAAAAATGTTTTACCATATGCTGCCACTCAAAAGAGAGCATACATTGTAAGTTCTATGAAACACATCATCAGATCAAACAATAAAAGGCAGCCTACCAACAGTGTTGAATGTTTTTGACAGAGCAAATCAATCTAAAACAAACTTTTAAATCCAAGTTGACATTTCTACGGTTCAGAAACCATTTACTATAACAGCTTGAGCATTTATAACATGCAGATTGGGATTTTAATATTTGAGGAAATACGGCAAGTTTCCTGAATTTATACATAGATATCCTTGCCATGAGGTGGCTTCTAAGCTGTTGCAAGGTCATGATGTGAACTGCATTGCAAATCAAAATAAGCTGTTAATGTACTGGACTTAGAAGGGAAAATAATTAGTACAAGTCATCCTTTGTTGAGGTGTTCAAGATGCAGAATTTTGCTTGTTAATAGCAATTTAATCTCAATAGAAACCTTGATAGCTTGGATACATATTATGATAATGTTTCAATTTCAAAGTGGGAACATGCATTGACATTTATCATAAAATCACCCTGGCTTTCATTATTTTTACATAAGAATGGAGAAAGTCAGAAACTCTCAACGTGACTCTTATCCATTTCTAAGAAAAATCCTTGGAAAAGTAGTTGAATTTAAGACAGTGCTCTATAAACAAAATATAGTAAATCAGCTAAATTAAATCAGCCTAAATGACCAACAAGAAAGAAACAAAGCAGGAAAAACAAACCAGAAGTGGCCAACTGGTCCAACGAAGCCAAATCCAAACACACTTGTGGTAGCTACTCGTTTCCAGTTGATTTTAAATTCTCCATCTGCATCCTGACAAATGAAATGTTTATTACACTAGTATGGAAGGAGGTTATTGATCCAAACTCTTAACTTATACAATTACTATTCTGACCAATTTATCATGGATGATAGGTACAAGAACAAGATATACAAAGCTGATGTCCAATCCATACAAGAGTGGATACCAATCAATTTGGATAATGCTATTTACTAAAGTCATGACACTAGACAGTAAAAATAAAAAAGAAGCTGGCTGATCAATTTAGAAAAAATAATGTATTGAACACTCAAGACAAAACTTTCTTTCAGTCCGAACTGGCCAAAAATGCCAGTCTAGTCCAGACAATCACAGTGCCCAGACTGGAATTTTATTTTATTTTGCCTATTAGGACTGAAAACCTGCATTCTCTTACACGCTTTCACTTGATTCACCTTCAGCATACCAAAATATTAATATCTAATTTGGCACTCAAATACAGAGGCACATAGGGAAGGTATATTACCAGTTAACTATGCATTAGCAAAGAATTAATACTTTCTAGAAAGCATGAGGTTCAAGAAAAGAGCTAAATTTTAGTTTGGATAGGGGTAAACCTTTTGGTCCTTGATCCAAACCTTTAGGAACCAAATAGCAACTTAAAATTGGTGCAAACATGAAGAGAATTGACTCTAACTCTAATAAAATGAGCGATCATAGTTTTGGGCCAAGAAAAGAAAAAGAGTGATTATGGTTGATCACAACCAAACATACTTTGACAGATTTTCATTATTAGCATTATAGTTTGTGGCTGTTGTAAACGCACAATGAAAGATTTATATTATGAATGCCAGATAGGTAAACCCAGCAGATGCAAGACAATTAAACAGTCAAGCAAATGCACAAGGAACATCCCCAATTCATTTCCTGCAAATGCCAATTCTTTGATTAACAGAATCATTAAATCCATTGTAACCATAAACTGTGGACGTGAAATAATGTTAACAAGGAAACCACAAGTGAATCATTGAAACAGCTACATACCATCTATTCTTGCTATGGCATCCTATTTCAGCCAATAAAACCTAATCCATCACTAAAAGAACCATTAAGTAATTACTTTAAAATCCATACCATCAAATGCCCATATAAGGGCAAAAGATACTGTGACTAATCACCATTCACAAACAACATACACAAGGCATCAAAAAGAATCTTCATCACTTATCTTAGAAGGAAACAGTAGAATATTCCATATGAGATAAAAAATAATAATAATAAATAAATAAAATAAAATAAAAGGGAAAAGAAAGTAAGGTCTAAAGTAAGGTGATATGAAATTAGAAGACTAGCCAGGCAACAGGGCTCAAACACACTCAAAGCATGGAGCACCAAGAGCAGCCAGAGACATAACAACAATCAAGGACACCATGAGGCAATTGAAACTAACACTACAGATAATAATCCAAATAAACGTCATGGAAGGATTCAGTGGCAAGAACCAAGGTGAAATAGTCAAATGGCATGAACAGAAAACGCAGTCAGACAGATACCCATTAGCTCAGTTAGGTCTAACCAGCCATAGATGGTGAAAAATCATAACAAAACAACAGAAAAGAGAGTAGACAAAGATGGGTTTTCTGGGAGCTCACCGGAGATTGAAGGCGTTTTTTAACGGTGGAGTGTGTGATATATTGAGCAGCGATATCGCCAATGCCCCAGAGAAACCCCGAGCTAACTACCTGCGTCTTGACCGGATGAAGGGACAGACAGCTCTGGTACCATTTCCATGCCTTTAACATCGTCTTTATTGGAGGTAAAGGCAATGGAGGAAAAAGATGTAAAATTTATAGCCTTCGGACTACAGTCGACAGAGAAAACGCAAGAGAATTTGGGAACCCATGTCCTGAGGATGACTAGTAACTGCACACGAATTTTGGAACTCTTCAGCTTTGCCGTATACCAACAACCATTCCCAAAAATTAAAAAGAAGAAAATTAAGAATTTAAATACTGTAATTTTTTTTAATTATCTGAATTGGATTGTATTACAAAACATAAACTTTTATTTAAAAGATAAAATTTTTATACTGAGGTCCTCTCAATTTAATTACAGTTGGTTATAATTGGAATGAAGAAATAGAAAATTTATTATTATTGTAACCTTTTTTTATAAATTATAAAAATTAATTTTTACACATAAAAAAATTATTAAATGATTTAAATGAATAAAATACCTATTATAAAACTCACAAGATTTTGAAAATGCTCAGAGGCAATGGCCCCTCTCCGCCCCATTATCCGTCCTTATTGATGAGTGATGTACCGATATATTGACTGATTTTGGGAAAGTGTTTTCTTTTTCTTTTTTTTCTTTTTTTTTTTTTAATGAAGATTTTGGCAAAGTTGAGTACCTATTTTATTAGACTCAAGAATTATGTGAAAAACTAACAATTTTAGCAGTGTAGTGTGACCACCCATGAAATTTACCTGACTAATATTTGTGGTTGTGTCCTTGTGGATGCCAAACGCAGATTCTCCCCTCTCAACGTGGCGTCTTCTGCTGCTTCTTACACTGTAGCTGTAGAAGAAAATCAAGCAAACCTTTCTCTTCCTCTGCGCTCTGTACTCACCAAACTGAAAAAGTATTCCTGATTTTTTTTTTTCCAAGAAAATTTTCTTGGATATTTATCATTTTGGTGCTTGGAATTTGCTTATGCATTCCTTCTGAGTATATTTACTTGTATTTTTCTTGTAAGTTTTGTTATATGTTTTGGTGGGTGGAAGAATATGCTGTTCTCCACTGTCCACCCACTAGACTAAGGAGGTATTGCTGAATTTCATATTCTGTATTCTTGTTTTTACAAGAACATCTGCTTGAAAATTGGTAAACACTGTTTGCTTTCCCAAACTCAGAGACCGTGGCTGAATCCTAGCTTGATCATCGTGGGTACCTAGTTTGCATTTTATGCCATCTATCCCACTTGCATTCCTTGCAATTTTGAGTTGATTTGGGGGTAGTTTATAGAGTACAGACTGGTTTTTGCTTAAGAGATGTGGGTTCTTTTTTGTTTGGTTGAATGATCATTCTGGTAAGGGGCATTTTCTTTTCTTTTTTTTTTTGGGCAGTTTCTTTTTCTTGCTTTTGTATCTGAAAGATTTGATGTTTGAAAGATGTGAGTTGCAAATTTTAGTCGTTTTCAATGTAGTTCGCGGACAGGCATTTGTTTTGATTCCATATCAATGGAAGTAATGCATGTAAAACAGAAGAATGTGTTAAATATTATATTCCTGTTATTATGATTTACTTATTTCGGTTTAATATTAATTCAGCCTTGATTATTTTCTGTGGGAAAGATTTTGGTCTTCTGTTTTTTTTTTTTTTTCAATTATAGATTTATCTAATATGTGCCTTTAA